TTTGGTGGAATCAGGTCGGTATCCGAGGGGTCCGAGCTGTGCGCTAAATTGCGTGGCTGCGCGCGCGCCGACCGCTGTACGTAGCGCTGCGAGACTGATGCCGCCGCCGCCACTGCCACCGCCGCTGGGATCATCGTCGTTGTGCTTATCCGCGTTGCTGCGCTTCTTATGGTTTGAGGATGCGGTACCGAGGGCGGTTGGAGGCTCATAGGAAATAGCGTCTGTGAGGATGGAGGAGGTGTAGCGGTATGCGAAATCGAGGAGTTGGAGGGGCACGCGTTCGGTGTAGGCCGTTACGCCCATGTTGGCGAGGATGAGGTGGATGAGGCGGGCGTCGCGGGGCCGTTTGGAGGTGCCGGGGTCGAGGAGCGAGGTTGAGGGAAAAGGGGGATTCATGTTGGTCGTCGTTGGTGTTTTTGTGCTTGCTGCTGCTGCTGCTGCTGCTGCTGTCGTTGTTGCGGTGGCGGTCGAGGTGCCATTTGTGAGTTGTGAGGCTGGGGGTTGGGTAGTGGGTTGTTGGGTTGATTGCGAGGGCGGGCTTGGTTGCGGCGCCGTGGTTGTGGCCGGTGGTGTGGAGATGCCGTTCTGCATTGGCTCGGCGGTGGGGGAAGCCATGGTGGATTAGATGAGTGTGCGGCGTGCGCTGTGCGCGAGCGAGTGAATGTTGGGGTGGTGAGGTGAGGTAAGGTGGAAAGAAGGTAGAGTTGGTCGTGAAGCTGAGAGGTGCGACGCGGGAGTCCGAGCGCCGGTTTGCGGCTCTGCTTTTGGTCTGCAGGGCTGAAAAGTCTGGGGATGAGGGGACGTCGTCATATTCCAGGGGTGTCATCACTTGTGTTCTCTTCGCAGCCATCAAAACCGAACGGAAAAATGCATTTGTGACTTTCAAAAGCCACCTCACATCTACAATGGATGGATGCTACGTCTATGCCTTGGCGCCCTCAGTAAACACATCCTCCTCATCGCCCGTTGCCTCACTAGCAACGCTTTCATGCAAACTCGGCGTCTTGTCCTTCTTCCCAATACGCTTAATGGAGCCCCAGCTAAGCATACTCGACTTGTCCTTTGGCGTTCCGATGTTCGGGCTGTTCCCCATCGACTCCGTGCTTCGACCTAGACCCAAGAAGCCACTATCTTCATCTGCTTCATCGGGCGTGTTTGGCACGTCGCTGCCCTTGTTCTTGGAAAAGAGAGTATTCTTCTTGCTAAAGGTGAGGAATTGGCTTGTGCTTCCTTTGCGCGTGAGTTTCTGCATGAATGATTCCTTGCCAATCGATCCTGCGTTCTCAGAAGCAGCGTGTGAAACGGTGCGTTCGAGGGACTCGCGAGGTGAGCCTTCTGACATGTCGGCGGTGGAGATGGAAGGAGTGTCACGGGACATGCGGGAATCGTGTGGAGAAGTGGTGTCACGAGAATCGCCGGCCTCGGAGGTTGTGTGCTTGTTGTCACGGCGTGCTGCCTTTTCTGCTTTCGCTTGCTTGGCCTTCTCCTCCTTCTTCTCCGCCTTTTCGGCCTTCTTCGCCTCCTTCTCTGCAGCCTTTTCCGCGGCTCGTTTGGCTTTCTCCGTCCTTTCTTCCTCGTTTCTCTTAAGCTGAAACATGTTGAAGCTTGCTGCCGCGGGGTTCAGCTGCTTTGGCGGCGTGGGCGGGATCGGTGGCAGTGAAGAAGCTGACAGTTGTCCAGGCATGTACGAGGCCGACGACTGAGGCCGGGTTCCAATAGGAGCCTGGGTGGGAGAACGAGTGTTGGAAGGAAAGTCCAACACATCGTCATGCATCATGTCTTCACTGATCAGATTCGCAGAAGAACCATGCTGGATCGAGGGCCGACGAGAAGGCATACGAGACCACGAAGTAGTGTTAGTATTGTTGATGCTCCAGTCAACTCCGAGAGGGCTGTTCCTAGCACCAAAGGCGTTCGCGTTCCATCCGAACTGACTTTGGCTTTCCGTAGACGGTCGTGGCAGAGCCATTCCTTCCCCAGATTTGGTCGAGCCTTGTCGTGGTGATGACGGTCTTTCCAACCCTAGCACGGATGTCAGCCATGGGTCACCCTTGGTACCGAACATGTTAAATGGGCGCTTGCGCGTAGCCACATGCTGGGAACTATTTGGCGATTCCACAGGCTGGGTCTTGGTGCGAATGAACGAGTCGTACCATGCCCCTTCAGAGTGACTACCTCTTCGCCGGGAGTTTCCACTTCCATCCAGACCAAATTCCTGTCGAGGCAGCGACTGGCTTTGCGAAGGCTTCAAGGAACCCAGAGCAGGCCCCTCATCAGAGAAAGTCTTACCACGCGCACGGTTGAGGCCAAACAAACCGCCAAAACGGCTCGCCTGGGCATTGTTCATAAAACTACTCGAGGTTGAACGGATAGAACGCTTGTCGCTATCAACGTTATTACTATTGTTGTTGTTGATGTCGCTGTTGGGGTAGAATTGTAAATCATGGGCACTTTCCCGTGGACTAGCAAAGGCACTTTGCGATCGACTTTGTGGTGAGGCCGGCGAAGTAGGGTCCTGCATACGATCCATAGTGCCAGGCGCCCCTAGGCCGGGAAGTACATTCCGTAGGTGTGGTGATGGATCCTGGGAAGGTGCTCGCAGCGGCCCATAATCGTCCTCGTCCTCGTCTTCGGTTTGGCCGAAATCATCGCCAAACAGGTCGGCAGGTAGCAGCGAGCCCGCCGTTGGGCTCATGGGTGCACCGCCTGTCAAACTTTCTAGATCAGCTTGGGACATGGACAGGTTCTTGGTGCGAGAAGGAGCTATCGCCATGCCATTCACTGGATTGAAGTATGGTGTGGTCGTGGGGTAAGGTGGAGATGCGGTGGCGCCAATGCTGTTAAAAGGTGCAGACGAAGTGTGAACAAAGCCGCCCGTAGCGGATGAGAGGAGCCCTTCGCGCATACTAAGAGGTCGTGCTCGTTGGCTGTTATTCCGCATAGGGCCCATTTCTGCAGCAAGCGGTTGGGAGAAGAGCTGAGGTTGGCTCATGCGACGTTGTTGCATGTATTGCAGTTGATGGGAAGCTTCCTGGTTGGCTCTTTCTGCTTCCGTGAAGAGATGCCAGGCCTGAGCATATTGCTGCTGCAACAGACCCAGTGTCATCTTCCAGCGATTATCCTCTTCCTTCTCAGCATTTTCGGTGCCGTCTGGGGCCTCTCCGCCCTCTTGACCTTCCTCTAGACGCCGCCTCTCTTCTTCGAGCGATTTGATTTGGATTCCCTTTTCACGGATTGCCTCCTCTATGCACTTGTTCACTTGCAGCTCCTCTTCGTACTTGTTCTTTGCCGCCTGGACCCGTTCTTTGGAGGATGCTTCGTACTCTGCCTGCTCTTTCTTGATGCTTTCAGCAGCCTGGCGCAACTCGACGGCTTCGCGGGTCCACTTGGCCATGTCGTCCTTGAGCTTCTTACGCTCGGCTTCCTTCTGGCGCAGAAGCTTTTCATGTTGGACCCGTTTCGCCTGAGCAGCAGCATTCTGGCGCTCTAGGGTGGCGACTTCCTTTCTGAAACGACAGACGTGACGGGGCTTGCTT